GGTCAGTGTCATGTGTCATTCCTCAGCTCCATCCACCTTGTTTTTAGACTGTCTCTCAGTGGGATCTGAGGCGTATGATTAGGCCAGGCTGACTGGTCAGTGAGGCCTGGGGATCCGCCTCCCGGGTGCTGGGGTTCCAAGCATGCACTATCACACACATGTTGTATTTTTCGTATGGTTCTGGATATCTTCATGTTTGCAGAGCAAGCCTTTTACTAGCTGAGCCCATGGGATTTGCGTTCCTGCCTGAGTTGCAATGCTCAGCCTCAGCTGAGCATATCCATTGGTACTAAGCCAACACCAGCCCCCCTTCTCCCCCGACCCTGTGCTTCCTGCAGCCCTGAAGTGAGAGCCGGGCCGGCTGAAAGAATCCTGCAGAGGAATACTTTGTCGGATTTTTACCCTTGCTTTCTAGTGTCTACTGCTTCCAAGGAATGCCTGCTTTGGGGCTGGCCTCTGCCTCATTATGTAGCCCAGGCTGGCCTGGATTCCTGGGTATATATACTCCATCTGCTGCCAAGAAGCCCTAGCATAAAATATTAGGGGACCCTGGGGTGGGGGTGGGCTTGCTCAGGTCAGAGCAGAGAGCCCCTTTGTGTAGCTGTCATCTGGAGGATGACTCAGGGAAGGGGGCATTCTTCGATGATGCGAGGTTCCATCTGGGGCAAAACCCTCGTGCTCTGGGCTCATCTGCTGATGCTGGTTTGAGCTGACACAGCCTTCGAGCCCCTTCCAGGTAGATAAGTGATGCACACACGTGTGTCACGTCTGACTCATGCAGCTGAGACAGCAGTGCTTCTCGAAATCTGCCTTTCTGACACAGGTGTGTCTGTCCCACCAACAGACATGGCTGCTGAGATGAGTGAGAAAGGACTTTTCCCACTGTGGCTGTGATTGTACCTGTGGTTGCCCGGTCAGCCCCTGCTGGGACCCCACATTGTGAGGCTTACCTCACTCCTCCAGGTCTTGCTTGTCCTCACTCACTCACACACACACTCACTCACTCACTCACACACACACTCACACTCACTCACACACACTCACTCACACACACACACTCACTCACTCACTCACACACTCACTCACTCACACACACTCACTCACACACTCACTCACTCACACACACCCCAACACTCACACACACACTCACTCACACACTCACTCACTCACACACACTCACTCACACACACACTCACTCACTCACACACACACTCACTCACACACACACACACTAACTCACACACTCTCACACTCACTCACAGTCACTCACCCACTCACACACTCACACACTCACAGTCACTCACTCACACACTCACAGTCACTCACATACTCACTCACACTCACTCACACACACACACACACACACACACACACACACACACTCACTTACTCAGCACACCAGGTCCCTCCAGAGCCCTCAAGTCTAAGGGCCCAGGACACACAGTCACAAAAGATGTGTGCATTCCCGCTGTAATTCTACAGGAAGCAACAATTGGAAGGTGTAGTTTTCTTGGAACCTGTCGCTGTATTGTTACTTATTTTAGTTTTTCATGAAATCCATATTTTTGTTGGTTTTTAAAACTGAAAGCCAATCACTAAAAATATTTTCCAAATGGCTAAGAAAAAGATCCAAGCGTGTATAGTAAAAACTTAATTTCTCTCCTTTAGTCCCAGAATTGCCCGCTGACGCTGTGTTCCCAACACCAGCGTGTCCCTCCAGAGAGATCCAGACCCTCTGTCACACAACCCTTTCCAACCGTTTCACAAATGGCCATGGGACCTGCTGTGGATCTCAGGGGCTTGTCCTGAAGCAGGTGTTTGGTGTTGTATCACTCAGATTCACTGTACTTCAGTCAGCTCTGGACTGAACAGAGCTTCATAAAGGGCGTTTTTCTCTCCTCCACTCTCAGAAGAAGCTTGTGTACTTACCACGTCAGTGGAAACAAAATAATATCTTTAAATAAAAAATTTCCACTATGCCCAGGGTCCACTAACATGTGAGTCTCCACAGCTAGCCTGGATGTGTCTAAAGGTCGGAAGGGCTCTGCAAATGTCTGCTGTGAGTAACACACTGGACTGGGCTCTTTCCCTGGCCAGTCACAAACCTGAACCCCAGGCTTGCAGAGGGACCCCCAAACCCAAAGGCTCCAAGCTCCCTCACGGGCTAGAGGGCTCCAACCTCTGTGAATCCACAAAAGCTGGGGGGCTGGGAGACAGATCTCAGGCACGAAGAGGCAGCGTGGTGACTCCTGGCGTTGGCCTCCCTCTTGGGGTCAGCTTTGCTAACTTTTCACACTGGGAGAAGGAGGAAGAATGTGACTGTCACCGGGACCCTCATTTATGACCTCCAAGGACCTGCTTTCATATCACCGCAGAGCTTGTCTTCCCACGTCAGGGAAGACAAGCCTCATATTACAGGCCTCATGGGCTAAGTAACAATTGCTGCTTGCTCATCTGTTAACCACAGACTATGAAATCACACGTTTTAGGGGTCACTTGTTTATTTATTTATTTATTTACTTTTATGACTCACTAGATTATTTTTTGAGACAAAGTCTCAAATATCCCAGGTTGGACTGAAGCTTGCTCTGCAGCCCAGGGTGTGGTGAGTTAACCTTAGACCCTGACCCTCCCGCTCCATCTCCCAGTTGCTGGGGTTACAGTCATATCCTAGCAAGCTTAGTTTGTGTGGTGCTGAGGGCGGAACCCAAGGCTTTGTGCTTTCTAGGCAAGCACTACAACCATACAGCTACATCCCTGGTCCTGAGGTGACAGCTGCTCAGTTCAGAAAGCGCTGTGAGGCAGAGACTGGTAACAGCCAGCTTAAATGTCACTTGGTGAGAAAGCAGCAGAGAAAAAGGTCCTGCCTGCCACTTGGTGCAATGAACACCTGCACTTTCCCCGGGGTTGAGAGCTGCATCACAGCGGGAGATGGTCCACAGCAGACCACCTCGCCCAATGCATCAGGAAAGAGGCTGGCTGAGGTGCAGAAAGAGCAGGCAGGTGGTGCAGGAAGGAGCCATGGGTGGGTCTGCCTGAAACCATCTCCAGCAGGGTTTAGTGGGTGTGGAAACTCCCGCTGTTAAAAACCATGAGCTCTGCTTTCCGTTTCAGTGGGGACCCTGAGATGCCCTCAGACTTCTGAGGGTTCCGTCTGTGGTTTCAAGAGGCAGACCAGGAGGCCCAGAGCAGTATGGAGTGAGTGACCAGAACATCCTGGCTGGGAAGCAAATAGGAAGGGGACAAGTTATATCATCCAACCTGTGGAGAAATCTCCTCTTTTCCCATTCTTGCCCATAAGGAAATAGGAGGAAGAATAAGGGGTAGGTTAGGGCTGGGAAGAGGCCGATATATTAGTCACTCAAGCCAAGGACAGTAGGCTGGCTGAACCCGTCCTCCTCAGCCTGGGGTCAGCTGGCCCTTCTGTGAATACAGAGCTGGGGTTACAACAATGCTTGCTCTTCACCTGTGAGATGGCCAGCCCAGTGCAATGATGGTGGAGGCATTTCCCACACAGTATTAAACCCAGGAAAGTCCTGGGTACCATGAAACAGGAGTGTGGGACCATGCTGGTTATTTTCCTCGTGGCTGGTGAACAAACACCCAACAAGAAGCGGCTGATGGGAAGAGGAAGTCACAGGCTCTTCTGTGATGGACCAGGCCGAGGCTGGCAGGCTGAGGCTATCTGTCTGCAATGGAGCTTGTTCTTGGCTCCAGGCTGCAGGCCTTGTTCTCTCAGAAAAGTGTCTCTGTGATCTTAGCAACATTCAAAGCTGGTCAGAACTGAACTGAGCTTTCTCACTGAGCTTTCTGAACTCAACAGGTGTGACACTTCCTCCCCTAAAGGAGGTGACAGGATGGTTCTGGCTGCAGGTGGGAGGCACGGTGGCAGGAGCATCAGCTGCTCACAAGGCATCTGCAAGGCGGGAAGCAAGACCATTGTGCCACAACTCAGCTCACCATCTCCTTTTCTGCAAGGTTTGGGACCCAGCTTGGGTCCCATCCACATTTGGAGTTGGGTTTTTGTTTTGGCTTTTGGCTTTTGGGTTTTTTTCCTTTGAGACAGGGTTTCCTTGTGTAGTCCTGGCTGTCCTGGAACTCACACTGTAGACCAGGCTGGCCTCAAACTCCGATATCTGCCTATCTCTGTCTCCCAAGTGCTGGGATTAAAGGTACACACCACCACTGCCCAGCTAGAGTGGGTCTTTCCACCTTGTAAAAATCTCTCGCATGGGGCTGGAGAGATGGCTCAGCAGTTTACAGCATTTGCTGCTCTTCCAGAGGACCCGGGTTCAATTCCCACCACCACATGGTGGCTTACACCATCTGTAACTCAAGTTTCAGGGAATCCAACACCCTCTTCCCGTGACATCGGGTGCACACATGGTACATAAATATATGTGCAGGCAAAGTATCTGTACACACAAAATAAACAAGTCTTTATAGAAATTATAAATAAATAAATCAGCTCCCTCACAGACGTGCTGAGATATTTGTTTCCGTGGTAATTCTAAATCTCATCAAAGAGTGATGAGAGGCACACACTGCTCTTGCAGAGGATTCGGTCAGGGCAGCCCCTAACCACCTGTAACTCCAGCTCCAGGAGATCCACTGTCCTCATCAGGACTCAACAAGCACCTGCGCTCACACATGTACCCTCCCCCACACAAACACACATACACATAATTTTAAACAAATACTTAAAAAAAAAAAAGCAGCCAATGTGGTGTAGGTGCACACCTTTACTGCCAGCACTCAGGAGGCAGAGGCAGACAGATCTCTGTGAGTTGCAGGCCAACCTGGTACAGATTGCATTCCAGGGCGTACTGAGAGCCTGTTTCAAAAATAAAAAAATAAATGTTTTAAAAAGCTAGCATGAGTGAAGATAAAATTTAGTAGTCCCCGGTCGGCGTTTGCTTCCTCCTGTGTGCCCCACACAGCCAGAGAGAACTGCAATCCTCTAATGTGGTTGTGTTTCCCCGTCTGGCCCAGGCCCTGCCATGCCGACCTTCTTCCCTGAATTGGATCTGGACAACTTCGTGTACGATGAGTCTGCTGAGGCCTGCTATTTGGGCGACATTGTGGCGTTTGGGACCGTCTTCCTGTCCATCTTCTACTCCCTCGTCTTCGCCTTTGGCCTGGTGGGAAATCTGTTGGTGGTACTGGCCCTCACTAACAGCCGGAAACCCAAGAGCATCACTGACATCTACCTCCTGAACCTGGCCTTGAGTGACCTGCTCTTCGTGGCCACCCTGCCTTTCTGGACTCACTATGTCATCAACGAGGAAGGCCTCCACAACGCCGTGTGCAAGCTCACCACCGCCTTCTTTTTCATCGGCTTCTTTGGGGGTATATTCTTCATTACTGTCATCAGCGTCGATAGGTACCTGGCCATTGTCCTGGCTGCCAACTCCATGAACAACCGAACAGTGCAGCATGGTGTCACCATCAGCTTGGGCGTCTGGGCGGCAGCCATCTTGGTGGCGGCACCCCAGTTCATGTTCACAAAGAGAAAGGGAAATGAATGTCTGGGTGACTACCCCCAAGTGCTGCAGGAGATCTGGCCTGTGCTCCGCAACTCGGAAGCCAACCTCCTGGGCTTCTTGCTGCCGCTGCTCATCATGAGTTTTTGCTACTTTCGAATCATCCAGACGCTGTTTTCCTGCAAGAATCACAAGAAGGCCAGAGCCATCAAACTCATCCTCGTGGTGGTGGTGGTCTTCTTCCTCTTCTGGACACCCTACAACATCGTGATTTTCATGGAGACTCTCAAATTCTACAACTTCTTCCCCAGCTGTGACATGAAGAAGGACCTCAAGTTGGCTCTCATTGTGACGGAGACAGTGGCGTTCAGCCACTGTTGCCTCAACCCCCTCATCTACGCCTTTGCTGGGGAAAAGTTCAGGAGATACCTGGGACACCTGTACAGGAAGTGCCTGGCTGTCCTGTGCGGCCGCTCCGTCCACGTCAACTTCACGCCCGAATCTCAGAGAAGCAGGCAGGAGAGCATCCTGAGCAGCTTCACTCATTACACCAGCGACGGGGAGGGGTCCATCCTGCTCTGAAGGGCTCCCACCACCCTGGCCTCCACCAAGAACCCAGAGTTCTTGACTCTGGCTCTGCGTAAAGAGGACAGACTTGCTTTCCCTGCTGCGTCTTACGCGCGAGAAACATGGACCAGACACCTGCAAAGCAACCCCACAGTGTTTTTGAAAATTTTATGTTCGATTCGTGAAAGGCACTCGTGTCTCTTACTGTAAACGCTGAACACTGGGCTTACAAGTGACAAAGCTTCTAACCCGATTAGCATAATTACAAGGGGCTGGTGAGGGTTGTTCTCATGATGACCTTGTGGGTAAGGGGGTGATTGAATCTCAGATGGAGTGGAAACCAAGGATTGAGTCCAGCTAGAATGTCCCCTCTCTGACCTTGAGGTCTTTGAGGAGTGACAGGTCCACATTCCATAGCTTTGCCATCAGAGAAGGTCCTTGTCTCTCTGATTTCAAGGTCAACATTCCCAGGGAAGGGCTTCCATCGGCCAAGCTGTGTCACGTGCCCATCCCTTGGTTAGGCGGTGGCATTGAAACAAAACTGATCTAAGATACGGTTGTAACCTAAAGGCTAGAGGCTGAGGGAGACATGCTTCCCGGAAGTTGGAGGGTGGGAACTACCGTGATGAGACGGAACAAGAGTGGCTCATCGGCCTCACCATAGGTCTGACTCAGACTGTCCCCCAACAACCAGGCCGTGTCTACTGCCAGCTTGTTCATTAACCCTGTCTTGAGGATGTCCTGAAAACTTCAAGGGCTCTCACTGCTCGCTGCATCAGATGAAAACTCAAGGGCCTGCCTCTGAGAGCCGGTAGATAAGATGCAGATCTAAAAATAGGCTCCATGTGGCCTCCTCCTTCCCAAAGGACTCCACCCACGCTGCTGCTGGTCTCTTCTCCCCCACCGCCCCACGCGGGGGGGGGGGGGGGGGGGGGGGGGGGGGGGG